ATAAAGAAAAAAACCTAGTCTAAATATAGAAAAGTGATTACTTTTCAATAATTGGGAATGATAAAATTACCAAACTTTACTATAATTGCAAGATCTGATTAGACAAAATAACAAAAACTCATTCACTCTACTAAAATATATATTTCATTTTTGTTATTTCACAATTTTTTCCATTCTAAAATAAATTTTATCCATAGTAGTCAGGAGAAAAGTGTTAGGATCCAGCCTAACCGGCTTTGTTATAGGACTAACACTCAACCTAAAATTTTTCACAACTGATGCAATCCCCAATTTCGATTGCATAGTCCCGAATCGCATCCCAATACAATTCCTTGGACCATCCCCAAATGGTAGATAAACAGACGGATGCCTCAACTTCTTATTTTCCTCACTGAACCTCTCAGGATCAAATTTCTCAGGATCAGGATAATACTCAGGATCCATGTGGATCCCCACTGCTGAAATAAGGATCGGCGTCCCTTTCTCAATCACTGTGTTGGTCCCAGGGAGGGTGTAGTTTTTGACACAGCGCCGATTGAGGGTCTGACCTGGGGGGTACTTCCGAAGAGTTTCTACCAAAAAAAAACTGGAGTAAAACTCAGGGTTATTGAAGAAATTTACCACAAAAAACTTGATCCAGAAATTTCATTTCAAACAAACTTTCATAGGTGATTTCACTCCCAGTTCCAATTTTCTCCTCAATCTCTTTCCTCAACTTTTCTTGGTGTTGGGGCTCCTTGGCAAGCTCGTAGAGACACATCGTCATGGTGGTGGAACTTGTCTCAAACCCCGCTGTGAAAAACAGAAACACCTGAGCTGCCACTTCGTCCAAACTCAAAATTTCGCTCCTCCTCAAATCCATCAAAAGTTGCAAAAAGTCGTTGCGTTTGACTTGGGTTTCCTCCCGTTTCTGTATTGTCTCAATCACAACGTTGTAGAAAAACTCCCTAATGTCTTTATCGTTGCTCGGGAAGCCCATTTTGCGCGACATTTTGGGCAAATAAGCAATGAAAAAGGCCCGAATTGACCTCAAAAAATCAAAATGGAACGCTTTCAGCCCCATTTTGCGAAACTCGGCATCGGGATGCTTGAAACTGTTACACTCAATCCCAAACGCACACGATCCCACCACATCCACGGTATACCGCCCCAAAAACTCCTTCAAATCCCTGTCAACATCCCTGTTTTTGTCGATTGCTTCCAGCATGTTGGTGCAGCAGTTTTTCACTGTTTGGTACATTATTTTCATCTTGCTTGAGGTGAAAGTTGGGGTGAGTTTGGTTCGGAGGTTCCTCCACTGGTCGCCATCTATGGTGAAGAGATTGGCACTGATGGGGTCGGTTTTCTCGTTGAAATAAAATCCCCGATCTACGAAATAGTGAAAGTCTTTCAAAAGGATATTTTTGATGTAGTCCGGGTCCAGAACCATGAGATTTGGTTCAGTCACGAGAAAAACACCCCCGATTTTGCACCCCCGTTGCTTGAAATAGTCGTAGAAGGTTTTGCTGAGTTGGCCGATTGTCAGGCCTCTGGGGAGGATCACGTTGGTGTTGCCGAGGGGAAAGCGCGGGGGGATGAAAGGGATGTTTTTTTTGGCCCAAAATTGGAACGCATTGTGGTAGTAGAGGATTATTGCCACTAGGAGGGTTAAAACAGTAGCGAGAATTTCGAGATAGGGGCTTGGAATGCTCATTGTTTGGTCGAAGATAAAACTATACTGACTTTGCAACTTTTCTTATCATAATGGTTTAGTTTGCTTGGGGAAAGTGTTAAAAATTATTTATTTGTGTGATAGTGATGCCACCAAGATGTAAAAATGGATAAAACGTGGTATCAAGGCTGTAAACAACTGATAAAACTATTTTAAGATTAAAAAATACAAATGTTTGTTTTGAAGTGTTTAATTGTTTAATTTGCATTGTAAAAGTATTAATGAAATGGAAATAAAATATTATCGTTTGAATATCTTGAAACTTACTTTGGGCAATTTAAGTAGTAACAAATGTAAGGTAAGGTGAGTAAATATACTGACTTTTTCGAAACGAAATTTATTGAACTAAATTATAAAAAATGCACTTTTTTTTCAAAATCCAAAATTTCATTTTTTTCTTACAAACTCGTTTCAACAAAAATCATAAAAATTTGGCTATAAAAACAACATTAAGACAAAACAAAAAATTCTAAAAAGAGAAAAAATGCGAAAAATATTTTTTAGTAGCAAAACTTATTGACTTTTACTTTACTTTTAAAATTGATGTATACCGCAATTCGACAAAAAACTATATTAAGTAACCAAAACGCAAAATCTTATTTTTTTAAGTGTTAAGCACTTTATACATAGTTACTATAAATACTATAATAGGTGTTACACAAAAAATTTGAGCACTTTGTATAAAATTTAACGAAAACCATATTAAACGGAAAGAAAAAGCTGTGTTTATTTAATGTATTTTTTTTAATTTTAATACAATAGCTTCTAGAATATAAAAAAGGAAAATTACTAAGAAATATTGAAAAACTTGACAATACCGCATTCTAGAAAATTGCAAAAAAATTATTAAATCTATTATCTATCTAATGAAAATTGACAAGAGCCACTTTGGAGAAACTTTCTATTATAAAATAATATAAAAAATAAAAACAAAATTTTTTTAATTGCAAATCTTAAGTCTTATTTTCCAAAACTCAAAATCTTAGTTTTGGGTGTTATGTTAAAAAACTTATAATAATGAAGCGTTACACAAAAAATGCATAATTTGGGTACCTTGTATGCAATTTAACATAAACCATACCAGACGATAAGACAAAGCTATGTTTATTCATTATGAAAAATTATTTTATTATTAATACGAAAGCTTCTGGAACAAGAAAAGTTTTTAAACTTTATAATGAATAACTTGACAACATCGCATTCTTAATTTAAAAAGTATACAGAGCTTTAGAGTTTAATTGCAAAATCTAATCAAAAATTGGCAATACAGGGTGTTTTATAATTCGTCCCTCAGAGAATACTGCCAAAAACATAAAAAAATGTTTAAAAAAGTCTATCTGTTAAAGTTTCGAAATTTGACCTTTTATTTTGCCTATTTTTTGTTATTTGATCTTTGGTACCTTTACTACTGATTAATTATAAAAAAATATTTTTTTAAAAATTATTTAGTAAAGGTACCAAAACTTTGTCAATAAAAGCCACAAATAACGTTAAATAATCCAGGAAATAGCTTTTTTGTTTCTTCTTCCAATAGCTTGCAGCAACAGAAATAAATATAATAAAAGTGCAAAATTTAAACCTTCATAATTCCGAAATTTTTAGAGATTTTTTTTACATTTTTTCCATGATATTTTATCTTCCTTGGCATTAATTTTTGGAGCGCGATTTCTGAAACACCCTGTATATTAGAACCACTCTAGAAAAACTTTTTGATATCTATCAAAGTGACAATTAACTAAAACAAAATTTTTTTAAATAATAAAAAAATAAGCAAAACATTTTTTTAATTGCAATATTAGTTGAATTTTATTTGCTAGTTTAAGTTCCGTTTACCAAAATTCACAAGCTCAATTTTTGAGTGTTATTAAGTTATTATTAACCACTCTGTATAGTTAAAGAACTAATAATAATAAAGCGTTACTCAAAAAAGTGCGTAATTTGAGCGCCCTGTATTAATTTAACAAAAATCGTAAAAAAAAAGGTAAAGCGAGACTGTGTTTGTCCATTAGCATTTTTTTTTACTTTCGATTTAAAAAAAAAACTTCTAGACCAAGAAAAAGGAGAGTTTTTAAGAAATATTGAATAACTTGACAACAACGCAATTTAAATACAGCACAGTGTCTTACAATTTAATTGCAAAAAAAGATTAAACAAGAAAAGTACAAAATTCATTTATTTTTATTACTAATAAGTATGTTTCAAAAGAAATTAAATAATTCATGTATCAAAACAACAATTGGGAAAGACAAAAAATTGTCAAATAATAAAAAAAATAAGAAAACATTTTTGTAATTGTTGGATTTTAGTTAACTACAAATATTAGGTTACCAAAATGCAAAACCTTATTTTTTGAGTGTTTATAATTTCGAAATTCTTACAGATTTTCTTTAACATTTTTTTCATAATATTTTACACATTAATATTAGAACCATTCTGGAAAAACGTTTTGATTATCAAATTCTAAAATTTTATTTTTTATTGCTAATTTGTTTCAATAAAAAATTAAATATTTTTTTTATCAAAATGACAATTAAACAATTATAATTATACCAAAGGATTATAAAACATTTTTTTAATTGCAATACGAGTATTGGTCAGATTTTAGTTACAAGTTTTTGTTTAAGCCTTGTTTATCAAAATTCAAAATCTTAGTTTTTGGGTGTTATTGTTATAACCACTCTGTACCTATAGTTAAAAATACTAATAATAATGAAACATTACTCAAAAATTGCACCCTGTATAAAATTAACAAAAATCGTACCAAACGATAAGGCAAAGCTGTATTTGACCATTAGAATTTTGTTTTAACTTTTACTTAAAAACTTTTAGACTAACAAAAAAAACGTTCTAGGAAATATTGAATAACTTGACAACACCGCATTCTAAATTTGAAAACAGTACAGGGTTTTACAATTTAATTGCAAATGAAGATTAAACAAGTTATATATTGGAGTCACTCCAAAAAAAACTTTCTGTTTATCAAAATACAAAATTTGATTTTTTTTACTAATATGTTTTGAAAAGAATTAAATAATTTATGTATCAAAACAATAAATAAACAAAACAAAAAATTATCAAATAGTAAAAAAAATAAGATAAACATTTTTTTTTAATTGCAAAACTTCTTGGGTTTTAGATTCTCAAGAAATATCGAATAACTTGACAACAATGTATTTTAAATTAAAAAAAGTACTGTGAGTGCTTTAATTGCAGAAAAAAGGCCACTTGGTATGTGACCAAAATAAAATTAAGCACAAGTTTTGTGACAAAAATATTCCAAATAGCTTTTCACAACTATTTGATAACCCAAGCCAAGGCTGTAAAATTATCACTGCAATTGCCTTATCAAAGGTCTCCAATTTTTCAAAATTTATCGTTTTACGACGGCTTTATTTGCGTCGTATTGCAGTTTAGTTTAGTCGCTATGGGTTTTCTCCTGGAAGATTCCTGGACGGAGGTCCTCCTCCTGTCGGCCATTTTAACCCTCCTCGTGCTCCACTACTTCCACAACGCTTACAAATACTGGGAACAGAGAGGAGTCCCAACCATCAAACCGACTTTTCCTTTAGGAAACGGCGACACTCTCCTCCCGGAAGGCTTCTCAGTCGGGATGCTGAGTCGCAAGTTTTACGAAGAGTTGAAAAAAAGAGGGGAAAAATTCGGGGGTGTTTATCTAGTGACTCAGCCGAATTTGGTACTAGTAGATCCTGAGTACGTCAAGGATATCCTAGCCACAGATTTCCAGTATTTCGTCGATCGAGGGTTCTATTACAATGAGAAGACTGATCCTCTCAGTGCACATTTGTTTGCCTTGGATGGTACCTCCTGGAGGAACCTTCGAATTAAGTTAACTCCAACTTTCACCTCCGGAAAAATGAAAATGATGTTTAAGACAGTGGTGGAGTGTTGTGGGTACATGAGGGACGCTATTGGGGCCACTCTTGACCGGGATTTGGACATCAAAGACATTTTGAGTCGGTATACCACCGACGTGATTGGTTCCTGTGCCTTCGGGATTGAATGCAACAGTTTCAAGTACCCAGACGCCGAGTTCAGGAAAATGGGCAAAAAAGTCTTCTCTTTTGGTTTCTGGCGCTCTTTTTGCTCCTTCTGCATCATCTACTTCCCCAAGTTGTCGCACCATTTGGGAGTACCAACCAACGAGAAAGACGTCCAAAATTTCTTCACTGGAATAGTCGCCGAAAGTGTGAAATTGCGTCAAGAGCAAAATATCAAACGCAACGACTTTTTGCAGCTTTTGATCGACTTGAAGGACCATTTGAGTTTGGGTGAGATGGCGGCGCAAGTGTTTTTGTTTTTTGCCGCCGGTTTTGAAAGTAGTTCGACGACTATGACGTTTGTTTTGTATGAATTGGCCAAAAATGCGGAAGTTCAGGAAAAGTTGAGGATTGAAATTCGAAAAATTTTGGACAAGCATCAAGGACTCACTTATGAGGCTATTATAGAAATGAAGTATTTGCAACAAGTGATTGATGAAACTCTGAGGTTGTACCCACCTCTAGCCACCCTAAATCGGCGCTGTATCAAAGACTACACCCTCCGCAACACCAATATAAAAATCGAGAAAGGGACGTCGGTTATAATACCATCGCTTGGGCTACACATGGATCCGGAGTTTTACCCGGACCCGGAAATCTTTAACCCGGAGAATTTTAGTGAGGAGAATAAGCAGAAGAGACCAAATTTTGTCCATTTGCCTTTTGGTGATGGTCCCAGGAACTGCATAGGTTTGCGTTTTTTACTCTTACAAAAAAAAATTTAATTTTCAATTTTCAGGTTTACGTTTTGCCCTAATGCAGTCCAAAAGTGGCATTGCAACAGTGATTAATCATTTCAGACTTAGTGTTAGTCCAGCCACCAAACCACTCAAGTTAAATCCACATTCCTTCATTTTGAATACTTTTGACAAGATTTATTTGCGGGCCGAGAAATTGGCACAGTAATTTTTAATTCAAATCCATGGATTTAAAATTGTGCTCAGTTTGAATTTTTTGACAAAAATGAATTTGATTTTTAATTTTATTTTTAATAACTGCAAAAAATAGATTATGTAAATTTAAGATGTTTAAAAAATTTACATCAATGCATTTTTTCACACATTGTAATATAATATCACAAGAAAATACTTTCATTTTCAAGTTTCAGTAGTAACACGAAACTAAAAGTTTTAAAATCTGTTAAAAATGTGTTATTTTGATTTTTGTAGTACCTAATGTCGAGTGTCATTTTTTATCGATTTTAGAATTATCTACTTTCTCTTTCGACAGCAAAATTATCAAATAAATTCTTGTTTTCAGTTTCCATTAAAAAAATGTGAATAAATGTTTCAATAGTGAAATACATACTCCTAAAACATGAATGTAATAAAATTGTAGAAAAACCAGCAAATTCTCGACTAGAAAAAAAGTCAACCAATAGAAATTTTTAGAAAAAAATGCTGAAACATTCAAGGTAAACAAATCGCATTTAGAGCAATCATTTAAATTATATATTTAGAAACTTTTTTTTATTAAAAAATTTTTTTGCATTTAAATTTTTGTATAAATAAAATAAAAATAAAAACTTTGTTCTATCAACAACGTTTATTATACACTGGTAGTATAGTTCTGTAAGACTAGTTGCCTATATATTTTATAGAAATGTGAAATAAATTTTCATAAAAACACTACTTAACGGTTTTTTTTATCACTTAGGTACCTGTATAAATGCATTACAGCAAATTTTCAAACCTAAAAAAAATAGATAACCATTACTTAACAAAAAATAAAAATACTTTTAAAATTAAATTAGAAGACATAGTTTACATAGTTTTATTTCACACATTTAGTTGTAATTTTTGAATAATTCAAGGCTGTTTAGTTGATGATATTTAAATTTTCTATTTATTTTGATATTTTCTTTCTTCTCCTCTAACGTAATTTAAACATAAAATGAGGATCTTTGGTTTAATTTGGCAAAATTTCTCAAATTAAGAGAGATCTTTCTAACTCAAAAAGTAGCTAAATCGTTTAGAATTTGACAAATAATTTAAGCCTAAGCGACAACTTTCTGCAAAAGTAACTTTTTGGTTTAGTCAAATTAACGATTTTTAAAATAAGTGATTTTTTGGTTCAAATACAAATTACATATTTTAAAATGCACTAAAATTGTGCAATTTAGGCCTAAAACGTCACTTTTTTTTAGCTTGTTTTTTACAAAACAGAATTAAAAAAAGACTTAAAATTGTTTTAAATTAGTTAAAATAAAGTAATAGTGATCTAAAATAATATTTTTCTTGGACCATTTGTCAAAATTTTGGTAATAAGTTTCTAACTTTAAAACGATCTATTTCGGTTTGAAATAGGCAATACATACTTTCAAAATAACGATTTTCTGAGCTGTTTTTCAAAATCTTCTAAACTGAGTGAGTTCCACTTTTAATTTGAATTATTATTGTTTAGCTGCAATATAGCAAAATTTTAATAAAACGAGTTAAGTGAGTTTCTGGCTTAAAATTTCTAAAATTTTTGCCTAAAACGGCGGTATTCTGTCTTGTATTAACAAAATCTTTTAAACTAAGTGATCTCTGGCTCAAAAACTATTTCAATATCTCATATTCTAGCTGAAGTAGTGTAATTTTCGACCCATTTCGGCAATTTTTTTAATATACTCGTAACTAACTTTTTGGCTTAAAAATAAATCTCTTCTTTTAAGATTGGTTAAAATTGCGTAATTTTGATTTAAAACAATGTTTTTCTGACTTGTTTTTAACATCTAATACAATTTTTTAAATTAATAAGTGAGTTTCTTAGCTCAAAAACGATTTACATCGCTCAAAATTATGTAAAATTTTTATTTAAAATAACAATTTTTTACCATTTTTTTTT